CAGCACAAAAAAATGAACCTGTCCAGATGACCTGACTGAAAAATTTTGCATTGTATACCTGGAGGCAGCCCAGTGGCACAACTGGAAGAGCAGCTGCCTCTCAGCAAGTAGGTCCCTGGTTCAAATCCCTGTGCGGGGGCCTTTCTGGTTGGAGTTTGCATGTTCTCTCTGTGTATGCGTGGGTTTTCTCCGGGTACTCGGGTTTCCTCCTGTAGATGAACATATTCTGTGATATATTCATAAATTAAACGGATTCTTTCATTTTTCTGGACTGGATAATATCGTGCATTGAATAATTAAAAATGTAACGTGAGACGTTAATTATCTTTGACCCATCAAAATGAACGTGGTCATTTATTTATAGAATCAAAATTTAACATCACACATTTACATTAATTTGGCAAATGATTTCAACAACAACAGGTTAAAACAATCAGCTTTACAAACAGGAAAATCATCCGGCCATGATTTTCCGTTGCTTCAAGCTTCACAACAGACATTTCTGAAAAATATCTGGAATGATTTCTAGCAAAAAGAAGAATTTTAAAGATGGAAAATGAAGTTTATCTTGAGAGAGATGGGTGAGGGAATTTGTCTGTTTTAACCAGAACAGCACGCTCTTTCTGGGCCCAACTTAAACCCGGTACACTTCGCAGTTGAAGATCGACTTTTTACCTTTCTGAAGATATTTCAGTTCCGGCGTAAAGTTCCACTTCAAGCCACTTTTCAGCGTCTCCATAAGAATAGTAGGGAACCGTTCGGAGTCGTGGGATCATCCCAGAACAGACATTTCATAATTCTCCTGATCTTCTCTCGTCAGCTTAGTTACTCTTCCTCCAGCATCCTGAATTCCAGCCTTCTGAACTCTGGAACTGCTGTGAACTAGGAAGTGTTGCACCTTTTAAAAAGGGTCACTTCCGGTTCATTTGAGGACTTTCTGATTGGTCGGTTGGACCAAACAGAGGTGTGTTTTTGTGATGTAAGGTGTTATTAAAAAGTCAAGGAAAAAGATTAAGTGTTTAAGAACAGACAGAAGATTGTTATGAAGAACTCAGACTTCGTGGAGTCAACTCTCTCATATCTGCCTGAAAAAGTTAAACATGACATTTCTTTTTCAGTAAACTTGCAGTTGACCGAAACTTGAACTTTGACCAACTTACACTTGCTCATTCAAAGACAGAAAATCAGAAAATGCATAATTACTCTGTAACAGACCTTAACGTGATTTCTACTTTGCATGAGGATTAAAAATCACTAATACTGTTTCACAGTTGATTAAACATGAGTAGTTCACTTCAACATAAAAAATGGTTTGAACTAAACACAATTTGATTATCAAAACATTTGTGAAATAGTAATGATAATAGAAAAGAGAGTGTTCTTTCAATTGATCAGTGCAGGACACTTAAAAAGTCTTCTGGATGGACTTGATTTTGTGTTTCTGGACTCAAATCAATGAAATACAGTTCTTGTTCCAGGAAGGCCCCTCTAGGCCAGATTTGACCTGAGGCCTAGTTCACTACACTCCCACAGACCAAAAATATGCATATTAGGCTGATTGGTAACTCTGAATTGTCCCTAGGTGAGAGAGTGAATGGTTGTTTGTCTCATTTGTCTCTGTGTGGCCCTGTGATAGACTTGTGACCTTTCTAGGGTGTACCCCACCCCTTGCACAGTGATTGCTGGACATGGGTGCCAGCGACCCCCGTGACCCAAAATGGAAGAGTGGGTAAAAGATAATGGATGGATGGATGTATACCTGGATTATTGAGCATAGACTTTGTTGGTTTTGAACTAGTTTGACATGACTGTTGATGAGGGAGAGGGCCGGCACCGGAGGAGGGGGTGTACCAAATAGACCATCATAGCACCAACATAACTGGTTTGTTCAATTTTGGAGTAAGCTGTTGGGGTAAGAAACAGTTTTGTAGTGTGTGTCTCCTTGACTGATGAAGCCTTCTGGATGTAAGGTGAAACGTTTCAGAAAAAAAAAGAAACTGTCCAGATGACCAGACTGAAAATTGTTGGATTTTATACCTGGATTATTGAGCATGGACTTTGTGGATTTTTAACCAGTTTGACATGACTGTCGACGAGGGAGAGGGCCGGCACTGGAAGAGGGGGCGTGCCAAAGAGACCCTCTTAGCACCAACATAACTGGTTTGTTCCACTTTGGAGTAAGCTGTTGGGGGAAGAATCAATTTTGTGTTGTGTGTTTCCTTGCCTTATGAAGCCTTCTGGATGTAAGGTGAAACATTTCAGCACAAAAAAATAAACTGTCCAGATCACCTGACTGAAAATTATTGGATTGTATACCTGGAGGCAACATGGTAGCGCAACTGGTAGAGCTGCTGCCTCTCAGTGAGCATGTCCCTGGTTCTGATCCCGGTCCAGCGGCCTTTCTGGGTGGAGTTTGCATGTTCTCTTCGTGCATGCGTGGGCTTTCTCGGGGTATTCCGGTTTCCTCCCACTGACCAAAAACATGCATATTAGGCTGATTGGTAACTCTAAATTGTCCCTAGGTGTGAGTGATAGAGTGAATGGTCATTTGTCTCTATGTGGCCAAGTGATGGACTTGTGACCTGTCCAGGTTGTACCCCACCCTTCGCACAGTGATTGCTGGACATGGGCACAGGCAACCCCCATGACCCAAAATGGAAGAAGCTGGTAAAAGATAATGGATGGATGGATGGATGGATGTATACCTGGATTATTGAGCATGGACTTTGTTTGTTTTGAACCAGTTCGACATGACCATCGACAAGTGAGAGGGCCGGCACCGGAGAAGGGTGTGTGCCAAAGAGACCATCTTAACACCAACATAACTGGTTTGTTCCACTTTGGAGTAAGCTGTTGGGAGAAGAATAAGTTTTCTGTTGTGTGTTTCCTTGACTGATGAAGCCTTCTGGAGGGAAGGTGAAACGTTTCAGCACAAAAATAGAAACTGTCCAGATGACCTGACTGGAAATTGTTGAATTCCATGTAAAGCATTGTTTCTGGGATGGCTGACTGCTTTGAGCAGATGAAATAAATCTTTGTCCAGTCAGAGACAGACCCAAGGTCTGTCGCTGGGTGGGCAAAGTAAGGTTTTCTTTTGATTTCAATGAGGACACATGTAACACTCTAAAATATTGCTAAGTAGCACATACACACCTAGTGACTGATATCTTCTTTAACTCAAAACTTCTGGACCTAGTTTTAGGATATAAAAGTTAAACATTAAAATTTAACACATGAACAACAAAGGAATATTTTTTTGGGGACAAACTTGATAAGATTCTGTCGTCCCACAGTGTAGATGAACATATTCTGTGATATGTATTATCCATAAATTAAACGGATTCATTCATTTTTCTGGACTGAATAATATCGTGCATTGAATTTAATAAATGTAACGTGAGACGTTAATTTTCTTTGACCCATCAAAATGAACGTGGTCATTTATTAACAGAATCAAAATTTAACATCAAACATTTACATTAATTTGGCAAAATGATTTCAACAACAACATGGTTAATCAGTTTACAATTAGAAAACCATATGGCGATGGTTTTCCGTTGCTTCACAACAGACATTTCTGAAAATATCTGGAATGATTTCTAGCAAAAGAAGAGTTTAAAGATGGAAAAGGAAGTTTATCTTGAGAGAGATGGGTGAGGGAATTTGTCTGTTATAACCAGAACAACACGCTCCTTCTGGGCCCAGCTTAACCAAAGGTACACTTTGCGGTTGAAGATCGACTCTTTACCTTGGCAGAGATAATTCCGACTTCGGTGTAGAGTTGCCTTCAAACGCTCTCTAGCGTCTCCGTAAGGATAGTAGGGAACCGTTCGGAGTTGTGAGATCATCCCAGAACAGACTTCATAATTCCTCTGAACTTCTCTCGTTCAGCTTAGTTGCTTTTCCTCCAGCATTCTGAATTCTGCTGCTCTTGGAACTACCTCACAGCATTCTCTCAGCGTTCTTCTCAGCGTTCTCCTCCGAACTCCTGAGAACTTCTCAGAACTACTGTGAACTAGGAAGTGTTGCACCTTTTAAAAGAGGTCACTTCCGGTTCATTTGAGGACTTTCTGATTGGTCGATGGACCAAACAGAGGTGTGTTTTTGTGATGTAAGAGGTTATTAAAAGTCAAGGAAAAAGATTAAGTTTGTTTAAGAACAGACAGAAAATTGTTATGAAGAACTCAGACTTCGTGGAGTCAATTCTCTAGTATCTGCCTGAAAAAGTTAAACATGACACTTCTTTTTCAGTAAACTTGCAGTTGACCGAAACTTGACCTTTGACCAACTTCACAATTTGCTCATTGAAGACAGAAAATCAGACAATGCATCATTAACCTGATTTCTACTTTGAATGAGGATAAAAATCACTAATACTGTTTCATAGTTGATTAAAAATGAGTAGTTCACTTCAACATTTAAAAATGGTTTGAACTAAACACACTTTGATTATCAAAACACTTGTAAATTAGTAATGATAATAAAAAAGAGAGTGTTCTTTCAATTGATCAGTGCAGGACACTTAGGAAGTCTCTGGATGAACTTAACCTTGTGTTTCTGGACTCAAATCAATGAAATACAGTTCTTGTTCCAGGAAGGCCCTCAAGGCCAGGTTTTGACCTGAGGCTTAGTTCACTACAACAGTGAAAAGGCAGGAACTTATCATACAATTTCCAACTTTCTGCTTTGACTGATCCATAAAGAAAAAAAAACACCAACAGTTACTATGATAGAACTATTTTTCATTCAATAAATAAATAAATAAATTAATGCTCATTTAATGCCAACAGCACTTCTGTGAGAAGTATATAAAAGCCAATTTCATAAAAGCCTAAAAGTTCTTTCAAATGTTTTTCTGCTTTACATTTCAAATATTATTTCTTTAAGCTTTAGACTAATGAACAAAGGTTTTTATTCTCAATATTGTGCTGTTTTGTTTCTGAACTGAGACTGGCTTCTTAAAGCCACATGGTGAATGACAGTAAATGTTTATCTCCTAGTATCACCTACATGACTGTATATGAGCCCAGCTTTATTGGAATGGAGGAATCATGGGACCCCTGCTCCATGGACATCGAGAGACGGTATCGGCTGGGCAGCGAGGTCGCCAGCTTGTCTCGCTCCAACTCCTCAGAGAAATATGACACCCTGGAAAACCTCAACCTCAGCTTCAGACTCACAAGAAGTGTCAAGTAAGACTTCTTATCATATTGTTATATAACACTGAAGGATTTTATTTTATTAGCAATTTAATAAAATGCCAATACATTTCAGTAAGTAATAGAGAGGAAAAATGCACCAAAATTAATCATCATCTTTAAGCAAAAATTCCCAAGTGCCAGACTCTTGGTTATATTACGAGTTTTATACAAACACCAACATCTGCTTAATTGTTTTTTCATTTTTTAGATGCTGCCTCAGAGTCTCTAAAGTTGCCACAATATTTGCTGTTGTGGTTCTCTGCAGTGTAAGTAGACAGGACATTCCTGAAATGACATGTTTTGATTTTAAATGGTAAATGGACTGTACTTACATAGCACCTTTCTATCTTATTGAGATACTCAAAATGCTTTACCACACAATCTGTGCCTCATTTACCCATTCATACAGCACTCTAATAGACTTTTACGAAGCTAATTGAACAAATCATTCTAAAGAGACTAATCAGAGCTTTATCACATTCATACACCGATGGGACACACATCGGAGGCAATGAGGGGTTCAGTGTCTTGCACAGGGACATTTCAGCATGTGACTGCTGGTGGATTCGAACCCCCAACTCTTTCATTGGAGGACGACTGCTCTAACCACTCAGCCACATCCACCGATACATCAACACTTTATTCCAAACTTATTATTCTTATTACAATAATTTTTCATCATTTTGGGAAATACATTTTTTTATTCCCCTGTTGTGTAGATAAACAAGGAAATTGGAATACCGTTTGTGTTATGAGCGAGATAGCTTAAAAAATAAGTAAGAGACTGACTTCCTACTGACTTTAAATGATGAAAGGTTTCCTTCAACAGGGGGTTCCCATGTCAAAATACAACGTGAGTGCTGCAATTTATGTATATATGTAAACCTTGTGAGTTTCATAACTTGAAAAATAAGCAACGTGTCATTTTCCGTTTTGGTATGTGTGGCTGCATCTAGGCATGAAATGGTCCCTTTCAAAAATTGGGTTGCCACGTCAAAATCCAAGATGGCCACCACCATTTATATATACATATGTAAAACGGACACCCCAATGATTTAAAGAAATTATCCATCCTACCATTATCTTTTACCAACTTCATCCATTTTGTTTTGTTGGATGGGGGGGGGGGGGGGGGGGGGGGGGGGGGTGTCACTGGTGTTCCATGTCCAGCCATCACTGTGCAGGAGTCGGGGTACACTCTGGACATTTTGCAATTCCATCACAGGGACACATAGAGACAAATGAGACAAACAACATTTCACACTCTCACACCTAGGGACAATTTAGAGTTTCCAATCAGCCTAACCTGCGTGTTTTTGGTCTGTGGGAGGAAACTGGGGTACCCAGAGAATACCTACGCAAGCATGGAGAAAACTTGCAAACGCCACCCAGAAAAGCCGCTGGACTGGGATTTGAACCAGGGTAATCTGCTTGCTGAGAGGCGGCAGCTCTACCAACTGTGCCACCATGCTGCCAAATGAATTTATATTTTCTAGTTTTTATATTGTTCAACATTATAATTTCTTCAAATGATTGGGGTGGCCAAAGATTAATCTATGGAGGCCAAGGCCATCATTGACCGACCCCTGGCTCCACCACTGCACCTGGTGGTGAATGAAATTGCTCCATCCACTCACCAGGATCCTTCATTCTGTGCTGCCTCTGACAAGCAAAAAATTAAAAATAAACAAACCTACCACAGTGTAACTCCTGCCCACTTTTGCAAGCAAAATATTAAGATTTACTTGCATTCCAGTCCAAAAAAATGCTTATCTTGAAAACTACAATTATTCTCTATATTCACCTTATTCCTGAGGGCTTTACTGTATAAATGATAATGGGTACAACTTCCTGTCAGACACTGGAATTAACAATAAGCATTGGTTAACCACAGTAGTGGAGCACAGACTGCAGTTTATTTGAAAGTAATTTGCATTCAGTTTAGTAGATAAAAAACTGTTTTTGTTTTGTTCGCATTTATTTAAGAACCATAAAGCTTACTAAAATAGCCTTGTGGAGTTCAGGTACCAGTTGTGATGTTCGCGGCTGCATGGACAACTAAATCAGTGGCTACAGCAATAGTGTTTTGAACATGGACCCAAAACACAAAAAGTGTTTCTTTTTTAAATTTTTTTATTAGAATTTGCTTTGGGCTTATTTCAGATGTAATGGACATGGGGATGAAAAACAAAGAAGATAACAAAGCAGAAAAGTGAGAGAAGAGTTATAAGGTAAAGAAGGAGATAGGTATAGAGGAGAGAGAGATAGAGAGAACACAAATCAACATCACTGAAGTCTGACTCTCGACCTGCGGAAAGAAGAAAAAAAAACAAGACAAAACCGAGAAACCACAACAAACAACTTATATAATAATACTTATAACATCATTAGAAAGTATTTTATACAGTACATGGTAATACAAGATATATTTAGTGGCCACCACAACCCAACTGAGTGTGTATCTGATAAACACCTGGATCTAAACACCTGTGTGAGCATGCTTGTCACTATAAGGTTTCTCCATAAAAATGTTCAATAGTAGATGTGGGGACCCACAGACCCGTCCCCACAAAACACGATGGTAACACAGGGAAGACTGGAACCACAGACACACAGCGGCCCCCAAGCCCGGAACTCTGGGAGTTCCCCAACAGGGACACCTGCACCCCCCAGAGAGAGAAGCAAAGGGAAGCCTCGGGCGACCCCCAGCAACCACAATGCAGAAACCCCAGATGGCTGCAGCGACGAGTCCACAGGCCCCACCGGCAACCAGCCCCTCCAGAGTGGATCCGGCCATGGACACTGAGCCCCGAGTCCCAAGGTCATACCACCCCCAAAAAGTGTTTCTGTGAAAAGAGGTATAGTTTCCATAGCCTACCTACAGATGAGAAATTAAGAATAATGTGGCTGAAAAATCTGAACTTCAAGAGATGATCCAAAATGCTGTATGTGTGATCATTTCACTTTGTTGTCAAATGGCAGAAGGAGGAAAACCTGCATCCGACGTTGTAGCTGGGCTACAATAAACTACAGGAGAAGAAATGTCCGATCCTCAGAAGGACTGAAAACAGTGTGACAAGAATATCAAGTATGATTTCAAGTATATGGAGGGCACAGCATTGTAGTATTTGTTCATCTTTTGTATGCCAATTTTCTCTGCAATTAACCCAAGCTCAGTGATGGAGGACTTTAAGGATTTGGCTGGGCCCTATGTCTGCTTTAAGGTAAATAAAATAGTGTCCCACCTCTTAACAAAACGTCACTGACCTTATTACTGTTGTAGTGAACTTAACCTGATGTCAAAACTAAGCCTAAGGTCAAAA